TGAGTGCGAAGCCTGTCTCATTGTGTTTTTTATTTGCATTTCCCTGGTGACTAATGATGTTCAGCATCTTTTCATGTGCTTATTTGCCATTTGTATATCTTCTTTGGAGAAATGTCTATTTAGATGATTTGCCCACTTTTAATTGGGTAATTTGTGTCTTTGTTGTTAAGTTGTAAGAATTCTTTATATATTCTGCATATGTGTTGTACGTATATAATTTGAAATGTTTTCTATCATTCCGTGAGTTATCTTTTCACTTTCTTGATGGCATATACTTTGATACACAAAGTTTTAAATTTTGATGAAGTCCAATTTATCCCTTTTTTCTTTTTCTTTTTTTGTGGGTAAAGGGTGTCACTTATGCTTTCGGTGATGTGTCTAAGAAACCATTGCCTAACCAAGGTCGCAAAGATTTACTCCTGTTTTTTCTTCTAGAACACAGGAGTAAATAGTTTATAGTTTATCTCTTACATTTAGATCTATGAACCATTTTCAGTTAATTTTTATATATGGCGTGAGGTAGCAGTCCAGCTTCATTCTTTTGTATGTGGATAACCAGCTGTTCCACACCATTTGTTGAAGACTTCTTTCCTATTAATTTGTTTGGGCACCCTTATCAAAAAAATTAATTGACTGTAAATGTGAGGGTTTATTTCTGAACTCTGATTTCTCTTCCATTGATATATTTACATATATATGTATATGTATATCTTTCCTTATGCCAGTACCACACTGTCTTGCTTACTGTAACTTCGTAGAAAATTTGGAAATCAGGAAGTGTGTCCTCTAACTTTGTTCTTCTTTTTCAAGATTCTTTGGCTATTCAGAGTCTCTCGCATTTGCATATGAATTTTAGGATAAGGTTGTCAATTTCTGCAAAAAAGAACCAACTGGCATTTTTATAGGGGTTGAGCTGAATCTGTTTGGGAAGTCTTCCAATCCAAGAACATGGGATGCTTATATGTATATATGTATGTATCAGCTTTATTGTGATGTAATTCACATACCATAGAATTCGCCCATTAGAAGATTGTACAGTGCAATAGTTTTTATTGTATTTAAAGAGTTGGACAACCATCACCACAATCAACTTTAGAATATTTTCATCACTTCAGAAAGAAACCCTATACCCTTTAGTTATCACCACTCTATTCCCTCAATCCTCACCCCACTCCCCAGCCATAAACAACCACTAATTTACTTTCTGTCCCTATGGATTTGCATATTCCGGACATTTCATATAAATGGAATCACACATTATGTGTGATATGTGGTCTTTGTGTTTGGCTTCCTTCACTGACCATAACCTTTCCAAGGTTCATCCTCGTAGCATCAGTACTTCATTTCTTTTTATGACTAATATTCCTTCTTGTGAATATATCATATTTTGTTTATTCATCTGTCAGTTCACTGACATTTGGGTCGTTCCCACTTTTTTGGCTATTATGAATGAAGCTGCTATAAACATTTATGTACAAATTTATGGACCTATGTTTTCATTTCTCTTGGGTATATCACTAGGAATGGACTTGCTTGGTCATATAACTGTTTAATCTTGTGTGGAACTGCTACACTGTTTTCTAAAATGGCTGCGCCATTATACCTTCCCATCAGTAGTGTATGAGGGTTCCAATTTCTCCACATTCTCATCAATACTTATTATTATCTGACTTTTGATTCTAACCAACCTAGTGGATGTGAAGTGGTATCTCATTGTGATTTTGAGTTACATTTCTCTGATGGCTAATGTTGAGCATCTTTTCAAGTGCTTATTGGCCATTTGTGTTTCTTTGGAGAAATGTCTATGCAGATCTTAGCCCGTTTTTATTTTATTTCTTTATTTATTTTAATTTTTATTTTTTAGGCCAGGCAACCCCTTGGTTGACCTCACAGATTGCAAGGACCTTCGCAGCTTACAATCCCTTGTTTTTTTATTTTTTGCACCTACAGCACCTGGTCTTCCTAGGTGGTCTCCCATCCAAGTACTAACCAGGCCCAACCCTGCTTAGCTTCCGAGATCAGATGGGATCGGGCTTGTTCAGGGTAGCATGGCCGTAGACTCTTTGCCCATTTTTAACTGGGTTATTTACCCAATATGTTGCTGGATTCTATTTGCTAGTATTTCGTTCAGGATTTATGCATTCATATTCTAGTTTTCTTGGGATGTCTTTGTCTGATTTTGGTATCAGTATACTAGACACATGGAATGAGTTTGGAATTCTTCAATTTTTGGAAAATTTTGTGAAGAATTGGTATTAAATCTGCTTTAAATATTCGATAGAAGTCAGAGATGAAGCCATATGGGCCTGGGCCTTTCTTTTTGGTATTTTGTATTACTACTGCAATTTTTTCACTTATTTTAGGTCTTTCAGATTATCTATTTCTTCTTGAGTCATTTTGGTAGTTTATGTTTTTCTAGGAATTTGTCCATTTCGTCCCACTTGTCTAATTTGTTAGTATGCAGTTAATATGCAGTATTCCTTTATAGTTGCTTTTATTTCTGTAGAGTCAATACTAATGTTCCCTCTTTCACTTTTGATTCTAATAATTTGAGTTATCTCTTTTTTCTTGGTTAATCTAGCTACAGGGTTGCAAATTTTGTTGATTTTTTTTTCAAAGAACCAGATTTTAGTTTCATTGACTTCCTCTGTTATTTTTCTAGTCTCTATTTTATTAGTTTCCTCTCTAATCTTTATTGTTTCACTTTTTTACTTGCTTTAGGTTTAGCTCACTGTTTGTTTTTTTCCCAGTGTCTTAAGGTGGAAGTTTAGGCTATCGATTTAAGATCTTTCTTCTTTGTTAATGTAGTCACATCCAGCTAAAATTTTTCTCTAAACACTGCTTAGCTGCATCCCATAAATTTTGATGTGTTGTGTTTTCATTTTAATTCATCTCAAAGTGTTTTCTAATTTCCTTTGTGATTTATTCTTTGGCCCATTGGTTATATAGGAGAGTGTTGTTTAATATCCATGTATTTGTGGATTTCTAATAACTTCTGTTATTGATTTCTAATTTAATTCCATTGTAGTCAGAGTATACACTTTGTATTACTTCAGTGCTTTTTAAATTTATTGAGACTTGTATTATGGCCTAGCATATGGTCTATCTTGTAGAATATTCTATGTATGCTTGAGAAGAATGTGTATTCTGCCATTGGTGAGTGGAGTGTTCTATAGATGTCTGTTATGTCTAGCTGCTTTATAGCTTTGTTCAAATCTTTTTCTTTGCTGAGCTGTGTAGTCATTTTATCCATTATCAAAAATGAGGTATTGAAGTCTCTAACTATTCTTATTGAAATGTCTGTTTCACCATTCAGTTTTGTTAGTCTTTGCTTCATGTATTTTGAGGCTCCATTGTTAGGTGCATATATGTTTATACTTATTGTATCTTCCTGATGGATCGACCTTCTATCTTATTATAAATGTCTCTCTGTGTCTCTAGTAACAATTTTTGTCTTGAAGTCTATTTTGTCTGGTATCAGTATAGCCACTCCAGTTCTCTTTTGGTTACTGCTTACATGATATATTTTTTATGTCTTTTTATTTTCAACCTATTTGCATCTTTGAATCTAAAATATGTCTCTTATAAAACACTGTAAGTTTGGATCATGTTTTTTTATCCATTCAGCCCATCTATGCCTCTTAATGGAAAGTTTAATCCACTTACATTTAATATAATTACTGATAAGAAGGACTTCTACCATTATGCTATTAGTAATTTTTGTTAGTTGAATGCCTAGCTGTGTACTAGGCCCCTTTTTAAAAAAATTTTATGTATGTATGTATGTATGTATGTATTTATTTATTTATTTTTATGTATTCATTTTTTTTAGGCAAGGCAAACCTTGGTTGACTTCACAGATTGCAAGGACCTTGACAGCTTACAACCTTTTTTTTCATGCCTATAGCACCTGGTTTTCCTAGATGGTCTCCCATCCAAGTACTAACCAGGCCTGACCCTGCTTAGCTTCTGAGATCAGACAGGATCAAGCTTATTTAGGGTAGCATGGCGGTAGACCCCCTTTTTTTTTAATGGTAAACTTTGTTATGTATATTTTACCACAGTAACAGATATTTTAAAATAGAAATTAATGTTTTCCCCACCCCCATTCTCATCTGTCATTATTTGAATAAAGCAGCGCACCTCCTAAGAAACCACCTCCCCCAACGGAATAGCTCTTTCTTTCTGCATCTTATATATTTTTTAAATTATTTTTTTATATATTTTATAATTTTTATATATTTTAATTAATTATATTGAAGAAATTATTTAAATTTTTCCCCTGTCTACCTCCCCCCTTCCCCCTACCCTCTGGTAATCACTAGTCCATTGTCCATGTCCATGAGTCTCTGTTTGTTTGTCCTGTTCATTTGTTGCTTTTAGGTTTATATCCCACATATAAGTGATATGTGATTTTCAACTTTTTCTGTCTGGCTTATTTTGCTTAGTATGATGTGCTAGGCCCTTTATGTACATTATTTTTTTTTTCATACCCATTTTATGATTGAGGAATCGAAAACTTAGAAAGATTCAATAACAGCCCCAGTCAGTGGTAAAACTGATCTATGAGTCCGGCATTGCATCCATAAGCTCTTGCCTGGAAGTTTCCTCACTGGCCCTCTGGCTTCCCCTGTTACTGTCCCAGGGCCAATCTACACATGCTGCCAGGACCCTTTAAAAATGTAAATCCAGTCATAACTCCCTTGCCTATCCTGCAGTGGTTCCCACCCAAGGGCACGAGATGCTTCACTATGAGTGATTCCCGGTTACTGAATACATTCAACACAGGGTTGCCTCCTGTTCACGCAGGCCATCTGAGCACTCAGAGCACTGTGGATTTTAATGTTATTTGCTAGCCTCTGAGTATGTTCCAGCTTAGGCTTTGGGAGAGCCCAGAGGACTTCTTGGACCATGGCAGTCATCAGAATTTTCACACTTCTCTTGTCTTCTCCCCCAGCCACACCCAACTTCATGTTTTCCCCTCCTCTCTCCCTCTTCAGTCTATGAAGACCCTGCAGGATTTGCTCACCAACATTCATGCTCTCAAGGTCACCACGGAAACCCTAAGGAAGGATGTGGACATGCTAAAGAACATGTTTGATAAGGTAGACCCTCCCCAGCATCCTCCAAGCTGGCCATGCCGCTCAGACCTCTGGTGGTTGGGGTGACAGGATAAATCTAGGAAGCCCATTCTTAGTCAAAGAACACAGCCCTGGGGGCAAGAAAAGGAGGCTGATGTGGCCCAGCCACTTGGTCGATCCCACTGAACTCTTGATGGTTTGCACCATGCTATACTAGTTACATAAATCTAGTTCATTCTGATGTAAGCAAAATAAGAGAATTTATTGTCTCATATACTAAGAAGTCCAGGGAGGCCTTCAGGTACAGCTAGATCATGGTGCTCACGCCACATCAACATCTCTCGTTCAGTGATCATTTTAGTTTGGGTTAGCGTCATATTCAGGCAGGTACTCCCCAAGTCTTGGTGACCCCAGGCTTATATTCCATCAACTTAGGAGAAAGAGAGCACTTCTTCCTCTTCTAGCGCTATCCCAATTGAGAAGTGGAGTAAACCTAGCATAGGCCTACATTCTGGCTCCCTCCATAGCCACAAGGACATTGACCCAGCCCATTAAAGGCTCTTTAAAGGCTCTGAGAAGTCCTACTCTACAAAAACGCATTGAATGCTTTTTAAGCCCAACATTTCCCAAATGTACATGCCCAGGGAACCCTTTCCTACCCTTTTCTCACTCTCTGAGAAACACTTGCTTTGAAATCTATTCTTCCTTCTCCAGTTCTTAGTCACCTAGAGCTAAGTCCTTGTATTTGAGTAGTGAGAAAAGCATAGCTGGGACCAGAACTTGTACCCCTGACCATGGGTTTGGCTCATTTGACAGATACGCTTGGAAAAAATAGACACTTCCTTTGAAGACTTGAAAGGGCAGAACCAGAAGATGAATAAGATGCAGCAGGACATGGTGAGGATCTCAGGCCTATCCTCTATCCCTGGTCACCTGACCTCCAGATTCAGGGGTGCTGGGGACATGGAGGGGTAAGGAGAACATGATCTGCAAAGGCTCATTAACTTGCAAGTTTGGAGGGCATTGTAGACAAGGGAGCCAGCCAAAGACATCATGCCCACCAGGTCCACACCCCTCATTCCTGACCCCCTCCCTCATCCCACAGATGACTCTTCAGAAAAAGATTCTCACCATCCCCAAAGCTGAGGACATAGTACTCTGGAGCAGCCTCCATGAGGCCATGTTCACCCCAGTAAGTGAAGGAAGATAGAGGAGAGGGAAGTAGGGGTGAGGGAGTGGGTAGGGTGAGCGCTGAGCTGGCCTGGAGCAGACCTGGCCAGCCCAGCCCCATTTTCTGCAGGGAACTTTTCCACAGGAAGCTGCTTCACTACAGCTGGAAGATTCTGAGCTGTGGCAGGTCGCAGAGCAGCTACAAGAAACTGACCTTCCCCAGACTACCACATACCTCGAGAGTGTTGATCATAGCCAGGTCCCAGAGACCATCCAACTCCCCAAGCTCCTGGAGTCCATCTGGCAATACCAGGCCCCAGGCCAACTACAGGAAGAGGAGTCTACCCAGGCAGTTCCATTCACAGGGGCCGAGGAGCTGGGCCAGCCTCAGGTGCTCGAGCCTCAGTCAGCACCCAAGCCTGGACTTGTACCTGGACCTGAGCCTGGTTCTGTGCCAGGGCCAGAGGCTGAGCCCATGTCTGCACTGGAGCCCATGCTGGAACCCAGTCTGACACCTGGGTTCACGCTAGCACCTTGGCCTGCGTTCAGACCTGGGCCTGCCCCCAGACCTGGGCCTGCATTTGGACCTGGGCCTGCATTTGGACCTGGGCCTGCATTTGGACCTGGGCCTGTGCATGGACCTGAGCTTGCCCCTGGAGCAGTCCCCAGGCCTGGGCCTGGATCAGTCCCCGAGCCTGGGCCTGCCCCACCCCCAGGCCTACAGCCCATACCAGCAGGATTCTGGCCTATGCCTCTAGGAGGCTGGCCACCTCCGGGAGGCCGGCTGCCTCCCGGAGGCCGGCCACCTCCAGGAGGCTGGCCTCCTCCCAGAAGCTGGCCGCTTCCAGGAGGCTGGCCTCCTCCCAGAGGCTTGCCCAGACCTAGCACTGGGCCTTTTAGGGGACAACGTTACTTCCAGCCTGGCCCAGGCCCATCGGGTCCCCTGTCTGCTCTGTTCCAGGGCCTCAGGGCCCCACGACCAGCCACAGAGTTTGGCTCAGCTTGGCCTCGTCAGGTACGGTTACAGTCTCACCAGCAGGCGATTCACCAGCTCCCAGCTGTCTCAGAAAATGAAGATTACGCAGAAGTCTCTCCGGACAGAGCTCCCAAGGCTGAGGCCTCCAAGGAAGCACCCCTAAAGAGTCCCCGGTCTGCCTTTCAGCAAGTAAAAACCACTGCTGCCATTGCAGCCGCCGCAGCTGCCGCCTATGCAGCTGCTGCGGCTTCAGCAGCCCAGGCAGCGGAGGCTGCCAGCAAGGTCATCAGGGATGCGCCTGCCACCAAATTGGCCTCCGTAGCAACGACCACGGCTGCATCTGGGCCCTTAGGGGTTTTGGCAGACGTCATGGGCGCAGGGTCTTTACGTGGGGCCACAACCTCCATGGCCTTCACCAGTGAAACTGAGATGGAAAACTTACAAGAGCTGGACTACGAAGACCTCACTTCTTTATATTCTTCTTATATCCCTCCTGATACGGCCCTGTCCCAGGCCATGCTAGCCGCCAAACAGGCTGTGACTCCTGAAGACAAGAAGAAAGCTGTCAGGTATTCCATGAACCACATAGCCCAGATGCCCATTAGACACGACTCCCTGAAAGAAGAATTTGCCCAGCTGTCGACCAACCTGCAACAGCGCTTGAGTTACCTAGGTAGGCCCAGCCCGGCTCTGAGAAGGGTGGCAAGGGCTCAGACCCTCCCCGTGGCCTTTAGGAAGCACCCCCTTTCCTTTGTTTAGCTGCCCCAACAAAATCTACATTCAACCATTTGCCATTTATTCCTTTAGTGTAAGCATCAGCCTCTTATTATTCTAGTCTATTCTTTACAATGAAAGTACAGCAAGGTCTTATCTTAGGGGAGAAGCATATAGAGTCAGAATTACTCTTCAAAATCTCCCTTTCAATAGCCCATAAAACACAGTACCACGCGACAGTGCTTTGATAAGTCTGGATCCACCAGCATGCCCAGCAGCGCTGAACAGACCCCAGATGATGTGATCAATTGGGAATTAAAAAAACTGTCAGGCAAACATGCAAATCCTTAAAGACCACAGTCAGTTCCGAGTAGCAGTGGGACCCCTAGATTTGTGTTCCTATTTCATGCCCATGATGCTTATATGCTGACTGAGGATATAACTCGGGTGGTTCTCAACCTTGAGCTCACCTCAGCACTCCATACCCCTCAGGGGCTTGGTGGAGCACAGACTGGGGGGCCCACCTACAGAGTTATGTGCATTTCTAATGCTTCCTGGGGAAAGGCTGCTGCCTGCTGCTGGCCTAGGAACCCACTGTGAGATCCACTGCCCCACCCTGTCTTAATCATTCATTCATTATCTTGCCGTTTTTTGCTCCGTGCCCAATACAATAGTTGCATTAACATAAGTCACACCCATGTTCAGTGCCACCCCTGATGGACAGTGCTGTCCCACAACTCTTGAAAAGAGCAAGTAGAACTTCACATAGCTACAAAGAACCACATTGATATCAGTGAATACTGGGGCACAGCTAAGAATCTGATAGTCATGAATTTAAATTTAAAACATAAAGCCATAATAGCCCAAATTCTACCTCTGACCAGCTGCCATTTTTGTTAAGAAAACTGTGGTTATTTTGTAAATGTATCTTGGCTGTGATTTTTTATACTCTCCTAGCTCTGTCTTGCATATTACTTTTTGGCCTCTTGTCCAGACTGGATATAGTTTCCCTTTTTTTAACTCCTCTCCTTTTTTGTTAAATCTTTCTTTCTATTTTGTGATGGGATAATATACTTATAAATAAGGTACTTTAAAGTTTTGTTCGGGGTTATTTTGTGGAGGGGAGTAAATTTTGGAGACTTTTCCCTAGGCCTGTTCAGTCTAATATGATAACCAAGAGACACTCGTGGCTGTTGAGCACTTGAAATAGGGCAAGTTCAAGTTCAAATGTGCTCTAAGTGGGAAGTGCACAGTGGATATTGAAGGCTTAGTATGGAAACAAGAATATAAAATGGCTCATTAATAATTTTTTGATTACATGTTTGAATGATACTATTTTAGATATATTGGGTTAAATAAACTTTTATTAAAATTAATGTCACCTGCTTTTTAGATTTTTTTTTTTTTTAATATGACTACTAGAAAATTTTAAATGACCTCAAAGGCCCCCAAGTTCACAATAGCTCTCTGCTGGACAGTGTTGCCTCAGACATCTCGTAACAAAAGCAGATGGGGCTCTAGACAAAGCATATGCTCCCATCCCTGCCACTAACATCTGCCTGCTCCTTTGCTTTCAGCTAATATGGGAATCTCTTCCAAGCTTGGGACAGCAGTGGACTCATTGCAAGAAAAGGTTGTCAGCCTCCAGAAATCCAGGATGCAGGTCAGTGTCTCAGGCAGAAAGAGCTTTTATTAAGAAGACCATGCCATGAGGCAAGCTGACGGCAGACTCCATGACCCAGAACCAGATGAAGCATTTGTCTTTTAGCTGAAAGGAGGCCTGGGGCAGTGGGAAGGCAGCTGCTCCCCTGTGGAGGCGAGGCGAACTGCTCCATCTGTGGTCCCAGAGGGTGGGTGAGTGTCCTAGATGGCCAGTTGGAGATATCCTGGTCTGGCACACACTTTTCAAGCCCCATCCTGGCCATGGTGACGTCAGAAGTAGAGACCTTGGGTATCTGTCTCCCCCTTTTAGGAGGAGGAACTCGAGAGAGTTTGGGGCCACCAAATAGCGATGATGAAGGATCACTACATCGTGCTGGACAGGACAGTGGATAAGATCCAGATTCGCCTGGATGAGTTAAAGGTTTGAAGGGCTGGGTGGGCTCAGGAAGGACACTGAAGGGATAATTCCTCTTTGGGATATTCAGACTCTCTGCAAGGTTTCACAGATGTCCTGAAGGCAGGGAAAAGTTAGTGGACAGTTTTACTGGCAATTGCTTGTATGTAAATTACAATTCGGTTAGAAACAAACAAACCCCGCCCCCCACAACAAGCAGCACACACATATTCAAACAGAAAAGCCTGAACGGTGTCCATCTTGTTGACCACTGGGTCACCTGCCCTTAGAAGGGTGCCTGGTCAGAGTGAAGGCTGAAGATGTGCTGAATGAATCAATGAATGAATAAGAGGATTTCTTGTGCCAACTGTTAGGTTTATAACGTTTCTCCTAAACTGGCTTGTTTCTGAGCAGTCAGCGCCACGGAGCCTTTCCAGAACAGCAGAGTTGCTGACATGAGAGGTATGGAGATGGATACAGAGCATCTGCCAGGGGCTCATTCCAACAGACACCTCCCATGAGCCTGAGGGGTTCTGACTTGCTGAGCTGGATCTCAGGACCAGTCCAGTCTGTGCCTTGTCCTGGAGGTGTCCCAGACCTTCGGAGAAGGGATCAAGGTCATTCCCAGTAGGAGATGACCTTCCCCCAAAATAGAAAGAGACAAAATCTCAAACCAAACCACCTGAGTTGGTTTCCATGGGGTCTTCTGATTCCCAGTGAGGGGGCTGTTGGTGGGATACATTAGAGTATGGAGAGCGAAGGGGAGGACCAAGACAAGCCCTTGGCATATCTCGCCTCCAAAGATGGTCACACAGAGTAATCAGGCCAGGACCCACACAGGGCAACTCGGACAGGAAAAGAACTGCAAAGCAAACCAGTTCCCAGCCTAAGCACAGGGGAAAGGGAGATCTCCTGGACTGTGTGGGCGGAAGAGACGCATGATTCAAGCTCAGACCTTTGTGAGTGCCGAGATAGGAATGACATCTTCTGGCAACTCTGGGCTCTCTTTTAGTCACTGCTTCAAAAAACCGGATTGCCATGTCCTAGGAATATATTGGTGCCCTTCCTGGGTGGAAACTGGAGCTAGTCCATTCAGCACAGGGCAGGCGGGGTGACAGAATCTGCCTCTAAGTAGTCATCACCCCTTGAGAGAAGCTTGAGAGGATGAGGCCCGACCAAACAATGTTAAATGGAGCAAGGCAGCCTTTGTCCCGACTTCCTTCCTGCCCCTCATGCCAACAAGAATTAATTACCTATAAAAGTTAACCCTGGAAGGACCTGGAACGGGGTTTTGTATATAACACATGTTTCGTTAAATATTTCTTCAATGAACATGTGCAACAGATCAGCAGCCCCATCTAGTCCTTCCAGTAGAGAAATGAGGGCATGCAGACACATCTGGAATAGCTGTTACTGCTTTACCTGGCTGTCTGTGAGAATGTAACAGGTGATGCAAAGAATCCGCTTATTCATTCATTGAGTCATTCAGTCAATGTTATTGCACCTTCACCCTGCACCTTCTTAAGGCCTGGTGATACAGCAGTCAACAGGACAGACACTGTCCGGGGTCTTCTGTGTTTGGGGGTAAGCAGTGGTACTTGTGTATTTAATTGAACTATAATTTATGCACAGTGAAATGCCCAAGTCCTAGTATAAGAGGTGGATTAATTTTTGCCTATTCATACACCCATGTCACCACCATCCAAGCAAGATGGAAACATCCATCACCTTAGAGTGCTTCTCTTCAAGTGTCTCCCACTCAGAACACAGCAGGAAAATAAATGAGGACAGAACTCTTTCTTAATGACTGTGGGAAACATTATTTTCCTTTCACAAGTGGATGTGATGGAGCTTTGCATTAATGAGAATTAGGTTCAACTTTGAATAACATAAACTGCCAAATAACTGACTGAAACTATGTAACTCAGAGAAACAAAGTCAGAGATGGTCGGTCTAGAGCTGGTCTAGTATTCCATGGTCTGTGACTTCCTTTCATAAGGTCACCTCAAGGCTCTAGTCATTAACTCTAAATTCAAGCCAGCAGCAAGGAAGATACCTACCTACTTGCGTTTACACCCCAGTGGTCACACCGGGCCGTAAGGAAGGCTGTGAAATATAGTCATGATTCTGGGAGGTCAAATGCCCTCTAAAAATTGGGCGTTCTGTTGCTAAGGATGAGAGGGAGACCAGGTATGAAGGGAGAAGTAGAAGACTATTTTCAGCTTTGGAAGAAAAGTGACCTCACCCTTTGGGGACATGGCCCAGAGGATGTGAGGCTCTTCCCAAGCAGGTTAGCTGTTGCTGCTGTCATAGGAAGAGTCTAGTAAGGGGAGAGAGGGTAGAATTAATGGAGGGAGCTGATTCTTTGTGGAGATATGGGAGTGAGATATGAGGGTTGTTCCCTGACAGTGGCATAAGTGTGAGTGGCATGTGAGTGCTTGGCTGATAAACAGACTGCAGTTCTTCCGGGACCCCGTTACAGATCAGAAGAGGTGAACTTGCCTTAAACATCTAGGAAGCCATTTGTTGATCAATGTCACCCCAATAATTTTAAATTAAAAAAAAAAATCTAGAGAGCCAAAGCATCAGCATTGATTTGTGTTTTCCTTTCTCAGGTCTGCCTTCCTGTGCAGCAAAGTTCCCATGATGCCACTTCCAAGAGGACAGCTTGTCCCAAGTCCCACGTTCCCTTATTTCTGATCTGGACACCTGGAGTTCCGGAGCCCAAGCTTTCCCATGTGCCCACCCTACCTGCTGTCCTCCTGGCCTCATTGTCCCTTCTTGGCACATGGCAAGGGTGGAGGTGGGAGGCAGACATTACCCTCGGGGCTTCCAAGGGTGGTTGACATGCCCTTTGCTTCTGTTCTTAGGCTCTCCATGCACAAATAAAAAGCCTAGAAATGCAGAAGGCAGACAAAAGTATGATAGAGCAGGAATTGAGAGAGGTGAGTGAGCAGATTCCTCTCCTCTTGCTCCCCCATCCTGAGCCCCAGCTCTCCGGCCCAGAGAAATGGAATCATCCAGCCCCAAGACAAAACCTGGCAGAGAGACTTCAGAGTCTCCTTCCACTTTTATTTGTATAGAAAAGCTGGGAAAGCTGCTCAAAAGTTGTCCCATCAACTCTTATTTTCAGTGACTCAGAATTAATGACAATTTGTTATATGAACTTAAAAATCATGTCCCAACTTCTCTGTCACAGAAAACTTTGGCTTTGATCTGATGACTGTGTTTGAGCCAACTTGGAGCCCAGAGTTGAATTTAAGCCAAGGCTAGATGTCCAAGGTTCCAAAACTAGACAAAATTGACCAAAGTGGTCTGATCTCCGCCAGCTTCCTCCTGCTCCCACCCCAGCAGCCCTGACTCCCTGAGTCCCTTCTCTCTCTAGAAAGCTGACAGGAGCACTCTGGCAGGCAAGGCAAACCGAGCCGACCTGGAGACGGTGGCAATGGAGCTGAACGAGATGATTCAGGGCATGCTGGGCAAGGTCATGTCCCATGAGGATGACTGGAGGAAGGCTGTGAAGCAGCTCAACAAGGACCTGGGCACCAAGGTGAGTTCCTATGTATTGTTTAGCACTTGCCACATAACAAATTACCCTATAATTTAGCAGCTTAAAACAACAAACATTCAGTCTCTGAGGGTCAAGAATTTGGGAGTGGCTTAGCCGGGGGGCTTAGGGTCTCTCATGAAGTTGCAGTCAAGAAAACATCTGGGGCTGGAGGAGCCACTTCCAAGATGATGTCCGTCCTCACATGGCTTGGACAAGATCCCTCACTCCCTGATCACACGGGCTCCTTCATAGGGCAGCTGATTTCCTCCAGAGTGAGTGACCCAAAAGAGCAAGACAGACGTAGCTTCTACATTTATCACCTAGAAATCTGTAAAGAAGAGCTGTTCCTCATCAGCTTGAGGTGATTACCCGGAAATATGGTTCGTTGAGGAAAGGCAGGAACAATGATGAAGTATTTCCTTTAATGACCAGTTTTCAGGGTAAGATATTGGTAGAATAGCCATATCCAGTACATAGTAGCAAATGAAGGTTTCTATTTTTATTTATTGATTTCTTTTTCGTGAGTGTCACCATAAATCATGGATTTTTGTATATTCAGTTTGTTCAATCAATTACGTTACTACTTATTTTGTCATTCCCATGGTCTCATCATTGGCCTGAGAGCTGGCTTGTGAACCCTTCAACTTGACCCTTTGTCATCAGAAAAATGTCTTGTTTTCTTAAGTGACAAGATGTTCCAGGCTTACTGTCAACAGTACCTTCCTCAGACCTGAATTGGCCACATCTCTGGAGTTCTGGTTCCTTTTAGTGGGGAGTTATGTTTAGAGACCAAAATTTGGAAACCATTTAAAAATTCAGAAGTCCCACCGTGAAAACAGTCTGGTAGTTTCTCAAAAAGACCAACAGAATTACCACAGTACCCAGCATTTCCACTCCTAGGTATATATATGCCCAAGAGAAATGAAAAATTATGTCCACATAAAAACTCATACAAAGTGTTCATGGTAGCATTATCATAATAGCCTGATGTCCATCAACTGGTAAATGGACAAACAAAATAGTCTAGCTGTAAAATAAATTATTCATTCCATAAAAAGGAATGAATGCTATAACCTGGATAAACCTTGAAAACATATTCAATGAAAGAAGCCAGGCACAAAAGGCCATAGATTGTCTGCTTCCATTTATATGAAATGATTGGAATAGGCAGAGACAGAAAGTAGATTAGTGGTTGCCTACACCTGATGGCGCTTGGGGGGACATGCGGGGTGACCGCTAATGGGTATGAGGTTTCTTTTGGGAGTGAGGAACATGTGGTGATGGTTGTACAACTATACTAAAAGTCGTATACTTTTACACTCAGTATTTACTGAATGTATACTTTACACTCAATATATGTGTTGGATGTGTGAATGTAAGGTGTCTAGGGACCATTGGGAGAGATGTTTCTCAGGCCCACAGGTGTGCAGTTGAGCATAGGGATTGATTGTTTGGGGGCAGTAACTAACGAAGGGTATTTCTTCCCTTGGCTGCAGGGAAGCTCACTGGGCAGCTACCCCTAGCAATAGCATGCATTAGGGGTACGAACCTTAACCCAAGCTTTGTTGGTTCTTTCTCTGTAACCACCTCACTTTCTCTGTTCAGTCTGGTTATACTCTGTGTAACTTTGCAGGTTACTGCAAATCCTTTTCTGGAGCGATGCAGAGTGTGAATTAAAATTGAACAAATAATCTCCCCTTTGGTTGTTCCAGCTGGCCCGCAGGGATTTGGACAATCTAAAGAAAGACATTGAGGAGATCTGGCAAATAGTCAGGAAGCTGCTGATAGAAGGCCTCCGATTCGACCCCGACAGCGCTGCCGGCTTTAGAAAGTGAGCCCCTCACTGAGGCCAGGAGGCCCTCTCTGAGGAGGAGACAAGAGGGGGATCCCAGAGGATTCTGGGAGCAAGAATTCCAGACCTGCGGACATGGGGAGAGAAGGCTGGGCTTCCCAGCTGGGTGTGGAAAGGGGTCGGGATGAGCTGAGAGCACAGGCATTCAGAGGTGGGCTACCCTGGCCCGGGCTGACAGAGGGGGCTCCAGGAGCCCATCTGCCCCAAAGCCCTTTTGCCACAAATGAGGAAACCAAGGCTCAGAGAGGGAAGGGGCCATGCAGATGGCAGCCTGGGGGGATCTGTGACCAGAGCCATGCCCCTTACCCACATCCAGACAGCACCCCAGGCAGAGGGACTCTGTTTCTGGGGGCTCCTATCCTTAAATTACCCCTCACGCCCCACTGTCCACCGTGAAGGGGGTTTCCAGAAGGTCCCTGGTTTTAAAGATCTCCATTTGTTTGAAGCGGGGAGATAAACTACACACACTTTGATTCCCCACCTCTGCTCCAGGAAGCTGCAGATAGTAGTCAGCAGGGACCAGCAAAGCTGAGCCGCGTTGGGCCAGGCCAGTGGGTATAGGATAATGGGAGGAAGTCCTGGCCCTGAGGCAGAGACAGACCTGCAGCCTCCCCTAAACACTACCTGGGGGAGTGAGCAGCCTCACAGACCCTGGCTGGGGCACCACAGCTAACCACTGCATGTCTCCCAGGAAACTGTTTGAGCGGGTGAAATGCATTTCCTGCGACCGGCCTGTGGAGATGATGACTGGCCCGTAAGTAGAACCACCAGGGGGCACCCTCTCTCTTCAGGATGCATGTGAGAGCCCACAGACACACACACCCCAACCCTATGTGTCCACGAGGTTCAAGAATCATTGATATGCACATCCCCTTTCTGTAAATGTCATTTCATTTGTTCCCTGTCCCTGGGTGGGCCACCGTCATTCCTTTTTCCACCAGGCCTTGTCTGGTGCCCACTGTCCCAGGGAATGGGTCAACTCTAAAAGAAAAGGGATAGAAGGAAACTGTGGGGGAAAGCAGGACTTTGTGAGACTTTTTTAATATGTATTTTTATAGTCTATTTTTGGAGGTGAAATTCACATAACATAAAACTAACCATTTTAAAGTCAATGATTCAGTGGCATTTAATTTATTTACCATGATGTAAATAAATTCTCTAATTCCAAAACATTTTTTTTTTTGTCCCCAAAGGAAACCCCAGACCCATTAAGCAGTCACTCCCATTGCCCCCTCCTTGAATCTACTTTCTGTCTGTAGATTTGCCTGTTCTGGACATTTCATAGAAACGAAATTATACAATACGTCGTCTCTTGCATCTGAGCATAATGTTTTTGAGGCTCATCCATGTTGTAGCCTGTGTCAGTGCTTCATTCCTTTTTATGGCTGCATAATATCACCTTGTATGGATGGACTACATTTTGTTGATCCATCAATAATGTTGATGGACATTTGGGTTGTTTCCACCTTTTGGCCTTTGTGAATAGTGCTGCTACGAACATATATTTGTTTGAACACCTATTTCCAATTCTTTTGGGGTATAAACCCAACTGTGGAAGTGCTGAGTCATATGGTTAGCTTTCTGAGGCGCTGCCAAGCAATACTCTAATAGGGTTTAAGAGCTGGATCTTGTAATACCCACACTCTGTATGGTGCGAGCCTGGCCCTGCTGACCCGTGAAGCTCATCAGCGCCCCCATGCCAGTCCATGTTTATGGAGGGGCTTTGGAGCTATACCAGAATTTTCTTTCAAACAACAGATCTCTAGTTGCGGCATTATTAATAATAGTAAAAAATAAAATAAAATAAAGAAAAGAAAAGAAACAAACTGAAGTGGTAAATGAGTTACCGTACGTACGTTCACATCAGCCAAAACAGATCATAGGAGAATACCATACAATGGAACCTTGTGAGATGCGGAAATGTTCTATAGCCGTGATGCCCAGTGTAGTAGCCACTGGCCACGTGTAGCTGTTGAGTGCTTGAAATGTGGCTAGTGCAACTGAGAAAGTGAATTTGAAATTTTATTTAAATTTAGTTAATTCAAATGTAAATTTAAATAGTCACCTGTGGCCAGTGGCTGCCATATTGATAGCGTAGTCCTGGAAGAATATTAACAACCTCGAAAAATGTTGGCAATAAGTTAAATGAGAAAATCACATCGCAGGTGTGTTATGAGCCTATTTTTGTTAAAAAAGAAATACATAAACATGGAAAAATACTGGAAGGACACGTATCAAAATATTTGTCATATGGTTATCATACTTTATTTATTTGTGCTTTTCTATACTTCCTAAAATGCTGGCAATCAATGTGTATTACTTTTTTTAAATTTTATAAATTTTATTGTGGCTTAAACACAGAAAGAATATCAATGTTTACTGTCCAGCTCGATGGGTTTTTACCCACGTGTCCACCTTTGTAGCTACCACTCAGATCAAGATGTAGAACAGTTCCAGCTCCTCAGAAGGCTGAGGTTTTACTTTATTTTTGGTTGAGGAAAATGCACATAACGTAAATTAACCATTTTAAGCAAGTGGTTTAGTGGTATTTTATATATTGACAAGAGCTGTGAGCCACCACCTCTAGTGTGCTAGAACGTTTTCATCACCCCAGAAGGAAACCCCTTACCCATTAGCTGTCACTCCCGTTCCCTTTCTCCTCCGGGTGCTGGCCAGTCTGTGTCCTGTTTCTAGGATTTACCTATTGCGGTTTTTAATTTTATAGTCGAAACAGTTGTTTTTATAACTTACAAAGATTATTGGGGCTCCCCAGAGCAGCCTCGTTTCAGGTCACAATTGAGGGTGTCTTCCTGGAGGAAATGGGAGCCCGACACCCAGTGTTAGCCATATATGCCTCCCACTGAGCTCTTGTCCTCCAACAGGCATCTCATCACCATCCGCAAAGCCCACCTGCTGCCACGGCGGCGGCCAGCCAGTGCCAACAGCTATGAGTACCTGCAGCGGCAGCAGATGAGGTAAGCAGGCTGGGGGCCTGCCCCATGAAGGTCACTCAGGACCCAGAAGCCCTGCAGAGACGTCAAGTCCAGTCCCAGGATCCAAAGATAGTCCCAGCCATCTGCAGGAGAGACAGATGTTCTGGGAGGTGGCCGGGGCAGCAGACAGGTGCATGAGATGATCATGGAGGAGAGGAATGGACATGTTTTTTGAGCATCTGTTATGGGGCAAGGACCGTTAGGGGAGAGTTTCTCATTTAAATCTCACGACCTCCTACAAGATAGGATTAATACTGATCGCCACTGGAGGATGTAGGTAATGACCGTGAGTCCTCGGCGAGGCTTGCTATGGCCAGACAGACATTGCACTAAGCACTTTGACAGCTCATTAAATCCTTACACCTGCCCTTTGTGGTGTATTCTATTATCCCATTTCACAGTTGAAATTAAGGCTCATAGAACTTAAGTGACCTGCTCAAGGTCAAAGGTAGTGAGTGGCAGAGCTGGTACCTAAACCTGAGGATTTCCGATGGACCTAGCTGGCACCCTGGGTCCCAGCTTTGCCTCTCACCCTCCTGACACCCCACCACTTCATGGTGCTTCCAGCCCCAGACCTGTGGGTATGTCTAGCCAGGTGAGGGGAAAACAGCCTCTTGATCTCCAGAAAGAGTCATGCAAGGGAAGTGAGGACAGTGGGAACGGGGCTCCCATGTCCCATCCCCCACTTTGTATGGCCATGGTTACCATTTAGCTAAGAGCATGCACCTGGCAGGCCAGACCAGGCCTGATGGCTATGGTCTGGGGGAGGGGGAATGCAGAGCTCGATTTTTTTCCCTTTGCCCCAACCGTGCCTAACTCTATCCACCTACCAGGCCCCAGGCCTGCCCACCTGTATCACCCAAACAGCTGGAGGAAATTCCAGTCTTCCCTCCCTGCTGGCCAGGTCCTCAGGGCCCATCTTGAGGCTCCTCGGGGGCAGAGGGGTCTCCAGGTGGCTGCTGACCCCACTGCCCTGCCCCAGGGAACAGCATCATCTCCAGCAGCTCCAGGACCTTGGAGACCACGAGGACTGGAGTGATGGCCCTGGGAACGATGCCAAGCTCAAGTCATATAACTTGTCGACACTCTACCCCTATGGGGACCCTGAACTGATGGACTATGACACTGTGAGTCAGTCTGCAGCCTGGGCAGTGGGTGACCCCAGGGAGACCATGCTCTGTCTGCTGGGCCTCTGTGTGTACTAGGGAGGCTCAAGGACACTCCCTGACTTGGGGCCTGGGCTGTCCAACAGGCCGAAGTGGACATCCTTGGAGTGGACGGGATCCTGTACAAGGGCCGAATGAACAACCAGGACAGGGCACGGCCACTGACTGGTGTGGAGGAGCTGGCTGGTGAGGGGCGTCAGGCCTTCCTGGGCACCACTGCCCGGTGTCCTGGCTTCGCTGGGCAGTGTGAGGGGGGATGCAGGCAGGGCCCACAGCTGGCACCATTTCTGACTGAGGGGGTCTTCACACAGCCACTTGCAAAAATGGGGTCCTACTGTATGCCAGGCACTGTGCCAGGTGTCAGGGAGAGAGAGGAGAGTAAAAAATATGAGCTGTTCTCCTGAGGTCTCCACAGGAGTGGGAGAGGCAAACTGTAAGCAGATAACCAAAGGTGAGGATAAATAGCTGACCTGGAGGGCTTGGTACAAGAACAGCTTGTTGCAAAGGACACGGGCCTAGGGAGGGGTGCTGCTGCCCCCCAAAGATGAGAGTCCACCTGCAGTGCAGAGATTAATCCAGGATGATCTCATCTCAAGATTCTTCACTTAATTACATCTGCAAAGACCTTTTCTCCAAATAAGGCTACATTCACAGGTTCCGGGGGACATGTCTTTTTGGGGGCCACCATTCAACCCACTACAGGTTCTCCCCCTGGGCCAGGATGGCAGGACACCACCTGGAACCCTGCATTCCCCCTGGGGTGAGAATTCCTCTCCAGGCCCCCCGGCGGTGGATGCTGTTGGAAGGGGACCCAGGCTGGGTTTCAGGGACCACCAGGCCGGATAATAACAATGGTGGCTAATATTTAATGAAGCCGACTTCTTGCCAGGCCCTACAGCAACCTGGCGAGGCCTTACAGTAAATGAGGTAAGGGCATCCTTGGCGGAGGGGCCAGGATGATCTTAATACACCTGGCCTTTATTCCCAGTCATTCACCAGGCAGCACCCCTCTCCCCACAGAGGGAAGGGCTTTTCTCCCCACGGCTCATTCATTCTCAAGACCTCCAAGCAGTAGAGCAGGACTGAATCCTGACACCTCGACTGCTTTATCCTGCTTAGGGGCAACAAAGTCTAGCATTAGAAACCAGTTACCTGTGGCCAGATTTTTTGACCAGTATGCTCTTAGCACTCATTTGTTTACTCAAAAGAACATTCTAATCCAAAACAATCACTATCTAAACCTAAACTAGCTATGTGAGCCCCACCCAGGTCCAGCTTGGTCCCAGCTGCATTTATCTGTTCATCCTACTGTGTCCACTCGGTACTGCGGTGCATCCAGCCCTTTGCCAGCACCACGGGGTCACAGAGGGGTGTCCGTCCAGCCCCTGGTCTCCAGATGCCTGTACTGTGGTCAGGAGCTCCAGCCAAGGCAGAAGAACACTTGATCCCCAGTGAGCGATGCCCCCAGCAGGAGTCAGGTGGACAGTTGCTGAGGCAGGCTGTCGGAGACTCTCCATGGAAGGAAGGCTAAGTACAGACAGGACTCAGGAGGAGGCAGCAGGGGTGCTGAGGCAGCTGCGGTGCATCCAGCCCTTTGCCAGCACCACGGGGGTCACACAGGGGTGTCCGTCCAGCCAATGGTCTCCAGATGCCTGTACTGTGGTCAGGAGCTCTAGCCAGGGCAGAAGAACACTTGATCCCCAGTGAGCAAGCCCCCAGCAGGGGTCAGTTGGACGGTTGCTGAGGCGGGCTGTCAGCAGGCTAGACTTTCAGAGACTCCATGGAAGGAAGGCTAAGTACGGGCAGGACTCAGGAGGAGGCGGCAGGGGCGCTGAGGCAGAAGGCAGAACCGAGGGAGTAGGAGATGCTTCTTTAGCCTCTGCGGTCCCCACCAGCTCTGCATGAACTGCCTAAAACACGCCCCTGACCCGGCCCTTCCCTAGTTCAGAACCTGTCGGCTTTCTGTGGCTGCTGTAAGGAATTACCACAAACTGAGTGGCTTAAAACAACCCAGACATACTTTGTCTTAGTTCTGGAGGACAGAAATCTGAAATGAGGCTTACGGGCTAAAGTGGAGGTGTCAGCAGGGCTGATTCCTTCTGAGGCTCTAGGAGAATCCGTTTCCTTGCCAGTTCCACCTTCCAGAGGCCTCCTGCATTCCTTTGTGGCCCCTTCCTCTGTCTTCAAAAGGCATCACTCTGACTTCAGCTTCCATCCTCACATCTCTTTCTCTGACTCTGACCCTCCAGCCTCCCTCATAAGGACCCTGTGATTACATCAGGCACAGCTGGATAATCATTAATCAAATCACATCTGCAAAGTATCCTTTGCCACGTAAGGTGACATTCACAGGTTCTGGAGATTAGGACACAGACATCTTGGGGGGCATTGCCCTCAGAGTCTGGACCCCTTGGTTGATCTGAAGATCCACTTGGCCACTGGCCTCATCTGGACCCCTTGGTTGATCTGAAGATCCACTTGGCCACTGGTCTCCTCCCTTCAGCCTCATGGAACTGCTCGCTCACTCTCTCTCAATGAGCCAGGCTGTTTCTCACCCCTGGGCCTCTGCACATGCTGTGTGCTCAGCCTGGAGCCTCTGGAGAATCTTTCCCATCTGCCAGGGCTCAGGTATCTCCTCTGACTGGGAGTCTCCTGGCTTATATAGAGGCAGGAAAGTTCAGAAGAGAGACCAAGAGGAACAGGTTTTGAGGTCAGGTGGCGAATTCAAGTTTGGACATGTAGAGTCCAAGGTCGTGGGGGATGTCAGAGAGTGCTGGGTCAGCAGTTGGGCTTCCAGGCCTTGGTGGGTCTTTGAACTTGTACCCTGAACTTACCTCCCTTACTTTGAAAGGAAGCAATGTGATAGTCTCACTGGTCAGCTGGTTGGCAGGTTCTGCCTCTGACCTGTGGACGGATCCAGGTGCCAACTGGGGATCAGAGTGGGGTCCAGGGAGCACCCCTCAGCCAGGCATTTGCATAGAACCCATAAAGCACATGGGTGGTGGTTCTTAACTCAGGTTCGAGGAACATGACCCCCGGCTATCTGGATCCCAGAGGCTTGTGGGGAATCTAGGTGGTCTCAGTTGGGTCCTTGAGGTCATAGACCCTGCAACAGAGTTAGGAATGCAGGAGGTTTGGATAGGGAGGACATTAACAAAGAGGAGGAGGAAAGGGAGGGAGGAAGCAGAGACCTGCAGACAGTGCACAGACTGGATAAGGTCCCGAGCAGCCCGGGGGGAGCTTCCGGGCAATGCTGCCCAACAGATGCCCAGGCCTCGTGCCCCTATCATTGGTAGGATGTGCTAACAGACTCCAGGTGCTACCAGGTGGAGGCCGTCAGCTCCCTGCGCTTTCTGCAGCTGAATGAGTTTTGAAGGGAGATCCTTGAGGCACTTTCTGCTGCCACATGGCCCTGATCATTCCTGAGCCCTTGTTGGTGTCAGGTTTGATTTGGAAGTCACTGGGGAAAACCCAATGTAATCAACGTTACTGCTTCGTTAGAGTTTTTACTCCGTAGGATGGTGAAATGTAAATAAGTTCAGCAAGTGAATAAGATGAAACATGGAAATGGAGAGAATGACCAGGGAGAGGTCAATCTCCGATGTCCCTTCTCATTCTCATAGAAAGGTTATTTGAGGCAGGACTCATCAGGAGACAGCCAGGGAAGGACAGAGCCATCCACGCAGAAGAAACAGTTGGTGTCCTGCATGGGAAGGAGCTTGGCGACCCTGTAACTTGTGCTGGTGCCAAGCTTGGGCCCTCACCTTCAGACCCCTGTGCCCAGCTCAGCCACCTGTGAGTCCCTCCCCTCTCGTGCCTTTGGTCTAGGTGGCCAGTCATGGTTCTTCTTGGCTGGATAGCAAGAAGGGAATATCCAGGACGGGCAAATGACAGAGACAGAAGGCAGATTAGTGATTGCCAGGAGTTGGGGGGAGGGGAGACCGAGGACCGACTGCCTCATGGGGTAATGAAAATGTCCTAGAACTAGATGGAGATGATGGTTGCATAACCTTGCGAATGAACTTAATGCCACTGAATTACTCACTTTAAATGGTTAATTTTATGTTATGTGAATTTTATGTCAAAAAAATGCACACAAAAGATGAAGGAATGGAAGACGGAAGTGGGGCACTGTGGTGGTCTGGCCCCCAACAGGAAGATCTAAAGACCTGCCAGACAGCTAACCTGTGACTAGTCCCGTCAGCATTTTGTCTGTATCGTATGCTAAAATACGGTCTCCTCCTTGGCCTTGAGTTACTTTCAAAAAGCCTTTTTTTTAATATCTTAGCTTTAAGAAGCTCGAGAAGGTAGAAAGGGAAGAGAAGGTACTTCCACACACAAATGGGGAGGGTTGGATGTTTTTTGGGGGGAAGCCTGGGAAACAGAGCTGGAGCAGGGGTCCCCAACCCCCTGTCTGTGGCCTATTAGGAACCAGCTGCAGGTGAGCAAGCAAAGCTTCATCTGTTTTTGCAGCTGCCCCCTCAGAGCACTGGTTGGTCCCTGGTGCCCCCTCAGCTCTACCTCAGAGCACTGGTTGGTCCCTGGTGCCAGAAAGGCTGGGGACTGCTGAGCCAGAAGACAGGTTGGGGGGCAGGGCCTCCGGGGAGGAGCCAAACTCTGGAAGAGCCCCCACCATTCCTGCCTCTTCCCCTCTCTTTTCCACTAAGCCGCGAAGGTTCCGCATCCCCCGACTCGAAACCTGTACACGCGTTTTGGTGCCATCCACCCCTGTGAGTACCTGCCCCTTAGCTCCCTGGCCCAGCTGGGATCCTAGCTAGGTCGCACAATCCCAGCTTGGGGCCCACCACATCTATCTCGCACCTGCTATGACTGTGCCAGGGCCCCCACCCAGCTCCCCAGCCAGGCCTCCAGCTGTTCTGGGCTCCTGTTTCACCCTTTAGCCAGGCTTCCTGGCCCATGTGCCGTCCCAGGGACCCAGGCCTGGTGTCTGTCCCCAGGTGTCCAGTTAGCTGCAGGGGTGGGATAAGGGAGCTCGTTCATTCCCCTGGGCCTCTTTGCCAGGGGCCCCATGAGCCAGGCTGGGGGGACTGAGCTCACCTGATATTGCTATGTGCCAGGCATCCATGGGTGCTTTACAGTGTGCAGAGCTCTCTCCCTTCTCATCCCATCCAGTCCTTAACCCGGTTGGGGGAGGTGAGGACTGCCAGCCCATTTGAAAGAGGAGAGACTGAGGCACAGCGACCTTGGGCTGGGGAATGTGCTTTATCTTGGGTCGCCCTCTCCCCTGACAGGAAGTTTAAGGTGCCAGAGACTAGATGAGCCACAGTGAAGCACTTCCATCTTGGGGCTTCTGTCCTTAGTGGGGATGAACCTGTCAGGCCAGCCTCTACCCAGAATGTTCTTGGGACAAATCACAGGTCTCTCTTGCCCCTCCCAGCCCTACACCCCCATGCCGGCATCTACTCAGCCCCCTCAGGCCCCCGCCCGATGACACCAGCTCGCCCTCCATCTCTGCCGCCCTTGCCACTGCTGCCACCGCTGATGCCATCCCTGCAGGAACCCCAGCAGGCCCCAGGGCCCACCAGGCACTCAAGGCCTCAGCGCCTCGTGTCACGAGCCAGCACGCAGCCTGCCTAGGAGACCACCTGTGAGCCCTGTGCCCTGCACCCCCATCGTCCCCTCCACTACCCTCAGTAGCTGAGACCAAGCCCTGATTCTGGCCTAGGGAAGGTGCAGGGACTCTGGACATAGGGGAGGGGTCTCCACAAGGGACTCATTTTGACCCAGTGGCTGTTTTCACTCTCTGCATATAAAACCACATTACACGATCCTCCTCATCCTACAGTTCATGGAGAACACAGCTTTCTAGATTGAATTTTCTTCTAAGTCAATTTAATTCCTTGACCAATCTTCAATACAATGCAGTTAAATGAGTTTTAAAAACAGTCACTTTCCTTTTTATTTTGTTGAAATGATTTTATCAGAATCAGTTCCAGTTCTAGCTCCTGCAGATGTCCATTTTCTTTGGGGGGCCATTATTTCTACTAGGACCAACTTTCTTATGGGAACCAAATTCTACTGTGTGCATTTTTAAAAAATGAGTTATTTCCACCAGAAATTACTGTTGTGAATTGGATATTTAAAGAAGCTGATTGTTTATATTTACTTCTGGCTAATCCCTGAGGAACTCTGGGCGATGCCCCTGCAATACATCAGGACTGCTCCATCCCACCCAGGGCTGGGGTCCTGTGACCTGTCTGTTTCCTGGGCTAACTGCCCATTTGCCTGGTGGAACAGAGTAGCACAGAGCAGAGCTCACCTGCAGTCCAGCATCCTGCATGCCCAGCTTGATTTCTTCCCCTTGGGTGGTACATCCATCCCTCCCTCTTCACTCTCCCTCCCCCTTTCCACTCCCTAGTTTGTTCAGTTGTGCTCTCTGTCTTTTGTGTACTTCTGACACTTCTGTCACATTTCACAAAGACTAAATTTGTGAAATTTCCCTCTGTGCAGTTTTGGGGCGTGACCCCCCCCAACGTCCACTAGAGGCCCCTGGGATCGCAGAGTGAGTCAGAAAGAAGGGTGGGGGGAAAGTTGCCTGGGAGTCTGACCTGGGGGAGGACTGGGGGCTCCAGGCTCTGCCATGGAACTAGCATGGAACCTGGTGGCCGCTGGAATCCAGGGACGCTATGTGCCCACCCACTTCCTAATGGTCCCTCAGCCCCTCCCCCAGCTCCTTACCCCCCAACCACTCCCAGCCCCGACTTCTCTTTTCTTTCTCCAGGGACTGTGTCCAAACGAGGCCAAGCTCTTCCTGACCCAGGTCCATGCTGCCTTGGTGCCGCCTCGGTGGGCACTGGCGGTACAGCCCCAGTCTCCAGCCCTATGTCACAGATGAGTATTTTTGCAACTTTTCCCCAGAATAAAATCTTTCATCTTTCATTTTTCTGACTGTGGATGAGGGTGACTGGCCCAGTGTCCTCTGTGGAGGGTGGCCTTGCCTACCCCACGTGGGTGGGTGCACCTGCTGGTCCCTCCTTGGGCCAGCACCCCAGGGTCAGCCTCTCAGAACCACCATGGCTGATCCTGAGCAGAGAACTGCGACCACCCTCCCCTCCTCCGACATACTTCCCACTGTGGCCAGCTGCCCTGAGCTGCCCCAGGCCTGTGTGGTGGGCAGGTCAGAGGGGTTCTGTGAGCGGGGCGGGGGTGTGGCTTGCCAGGGTCGCACAGTGAGGCCTCAGCACTCCGGCCCCCGCATCAGGAAGGCCACACTTGTCAGGTGCTGTACCAGGTATGAAGGCCCAACTTCCATCATGTCTCCAGAGGCAGGAAAGGGAGTTGTGGCCTGAGCTCAGGCAAACAGGGAGCTTGGGGCTCCCGGGGAAGCACCCCATGCCAGCACTGTTCCCTGCAGCCCGGCATTTGGGCACCCACAGGCACCAGAGTGTGACTCAGCCCCTCAGAGCTGCCCTCCCAGCCATTTCAGAGTTTACATCAGAATCGATGCTTGAGTTAGTTCCTGTAGCCAAGGGAGTGAGGAGTGAGGCCCAGGTAGGTCACTGTGTAACTGTTTGCAGTCTGATAAGCCCTTTCGGCGTTCTGGAAGATGGGGAACCACAGTCCCAAGTGCAGGCAATCAGGAGTAGGTCCTGTCCCCTGTGGGGGTGGGGAAGCTGACCTTTGGCCTGGTCCCAGGTGGAGCTTCAGACAGAATCCTTGCCAAGGACAGTGGCAGAACTCCCCCTCCCAGACCTAAAGGCCTTAGAAACTAGGAAGGCAATGTTGTGCTCATTCCCACGGCATCTGCCTCCTGGAAGGTGGCTTACCCAATCCTGGCAGGGGGAGGGGCTTAGGGAGTGGACAGAACCAGGGATAGAGTCAATGGAGTGGGCATTTTGGAAGGTTCTGGATCCAAACTCCTCCTCTGTAAAGGGCACTAAAGGTCCTGATCTGGGACACAGCGGCAGGGCCAGGCTGGCAGGGAGTAGTGTGACCAACTATCCTGGTCCTCCTGGGAGTGAGGGAGTCCCTGGAACTTTCAGTTTTAAGATAGAAATGAATTGGTCATATGGGGAGGGAGGCATGTGGGCTGGCTGGGTGTGTGGGGCTGTATGAATGAGCTGAACAGCAAGGGGAGGGAGTTACCACTTGCAAAGCAGAGGGTCCTACCTCGAGGTGCTGCTAGAATGGAGGTGCTGTGTGGTGACCACCCTGCACCCCCAAACCCAGCTCCACAACCTACCGATGCAAGTCACAGGGTCTCTGAACATTTTCTCTTTCAGTGACCACAAACTCATTAACCCTAAGGTAAAAACAACCAAAACCAGTAAACGTGTCCCAAACAAGATGATCTGCATTGGAAAAAGGCACCCCAGTTCCCAAAACAGGCCGCCAGAAGGTGGCAGTTGCACTGGAGGGAGAGCCTTCTGTGCAGGGACTTCTTAGGGACACTGAAATCAGCACACACTGGTCCCCCTGTGCCCATCACCACCATCTTGGCTTGCTCGACCTCTAACTTTGCATGAATTTAGGACTCGAGGCAGAGACCCTCCAAACCCCACACAGTTGCCAGAGGGGGACTTCTCTTCTCTCTCCCCCTCCTCCTCTTGCTCATGGCTCCATCACGATGTGGAGGAAATATCCCCACCAGTGTTTGCAGCTGTTATTCCCCAGATGAGAAATGGCCCCAGAAAGCAGGGCAGAACTCTGCCAACAGGCTCCAAGCACGTCGTGCTGTGCCACTGACAAGGCCTTGGCCGCCCTGGAAGTGGGCCCAGCACCACCCCAAACCCCAAAAGAGCAGTGTTCTTTTAAGGTTCATTTGAAACACATATATTGCCCAGACACAAGCTGTGCCTAAGCAACCAGAGACCTTTACAAATGCAGGAATTGGAAATAGCTTTGCCTCAAAAGATCTTTTGGCCAGTCCAGTTGGCCTCCCCAACACTGACAGTGGGAAGTAACTGGAGTCAAAGCCTGTCTGTCCTGATTTGAGTCTTGCTATGAAAAGCTCCTCAGAGACCTCCAGGGCCACAGCAGCTGCCCCACCTCGCTTACCACCAGGTTTGCGGACCAGCCTTAGGAACAACATGGTTTTCTGCAACCGGCACAATGTGTTCTCAGAGAACCTGGAAAGACCCTAGGGACCCTGAGCAATCCTAGGAGCATTTCTGTCATCCAGAGAATCTCGCGAAACAAGCCCATCTTTTTAAAGCTGTCTGAAAGAGGAGCCCAGCCTGCCCGCAGAAAGCATTACAGAGTCGCCATTCATCACCAGTTGCCCCTCCCCCATGGAGCAGAGTATTTACTTTTAAAGATCCTCCTGGGAAAGCAAAATCCCCTTTAGAGATTCCAGCTGATTCTGAGACTGGAGTTGGACACACACACATCCGTGGTGACCAGTGGAGTGGGCTGTCTGGCCAGGGGAAGGCTGGCTGTGTCCCTACCGTGATGGTTGTCTTCAGCCAGTTGAGGGAACTTGGGCAATATTGCAAATTTCCAAGATGAGCCAGAAGTGAGGCTTCTCATGTAAACTTTCCTGATTTGAACATGTTGCCAAATCAAAAAGTGTAAAGGACCATGAAAGCCAAATGGCACACAGCAGGATTGTGAGTTTGCAACTCTCACTCCCCCAAGATAACCGTGCCCTGATCTTTTAACAGACCAAAGGTCACAGCCACTGCACGTCACCTCTGGAGGCAAGACCTTCATTCCCATGTGCTGCTCTATACCTTCTTCAGAAATGAGACATGCAGAACTCAAATCACAATCACATTCTTTTAAGCAAATGGTGTCTTTTAGAGGGGAATTTTGAGCTCCAGTCAGGTCTGGCAGGCAGGTAGGAGGTGACCAAGCCCAGAAGAGGCTGGACTTTGAGGTAACAAGGCCAATTTTCCCAGAAGATGCCCAAGGATGAAGGCCAGCTAAGCCTGGCTTTAAATTGAGTCTGTTCCATTTGTACACCAGCACCTTATTTTAGCCAGTTTACACTTGACTGTGTAGTAGGTGGTTATTTACACCTTCAGTTTTACTCCTAAGCTTCCAGGCTTGGGGAAGTTAAAGTTCCAGGTTCTGTGTCATACTCAATTTGAGGGCACGTGGTGTCTGTGTGGGCACACCTCTCGTTCCCTTCCCAAGTTTGTCCAGCCCACTTCTGCAGCCATTCCCTTGCTGTGAGAGGTTCAGACATGGGGCCCCCAGCATACCTGACAGGGCCTCTGCATTGCTGGAAAGTACTTGAGACCCCAGGCCGATCTCTAGCCCTGCCCTCTACAACTACAAAGTCCATCCTTTTAAAGTATGGAATTGAATGGTTTTAGTTTGTTCACAAGTCCATCACTTGGGTGTGTTTATACTGTCAAGGCCTTCTCCCAGAGATTCTGACACTGTGGGCCCAGGAATCTAGGGGTGCTTGTCTTTTTGTGGATCCTCCAGGAAGCTATACTGTGCAGCCAGCTATGGGACCATGGTCTTGACCAGGGGCTCTTCCTGGGAGTGGGGGGTTATTTTGCACCCAGGGACATTTTGCCACGTCTGGACATTTTTGGTTGTCACAACTGTGGGAGCTACTGGCATCTAGTGGGTAGAGGCTGGGATGCTGGCCAACATCCCCCAGTGCACAGGATTTTGCATGGCAGTGATCTGGCCCGTGTTCATTGCCCAGGTTGGGAAAACTGTACCTACAGGAGCCTCAAGTCCCTTCCAGCCTAATATGGCCCCCTTGGACCTCCAGGCCCAGCCTACAGGGCCCCAGAAAAAGAAATGGGCCTTACCTCCAACAGATCAGCACTTAAAAGGGACATTCCTCAAACTGGGGCCTGAGGTCCCATCTCTAACAAGCTCTGGGTGATGCTGCTGGTCTGGGGACCACACTTTGAGCAGTGAGGGTATATAATGCCTGTACAGGCCACCCACGGACCTGCCCGGGGTTGAGTCCCCATTGCCTCTAGGAATGCAAATTCTAGACAGTGCACCATCTCCTGTGGTTCCAAAACAGCCACCTAGTAACCAGCTCGCTGGGGGATCTCAGGCACACTCACTCCGCATGGCTAATAACCCAGAACACTTGCTTTGCTCTTGGGGGGGGGGGGTGCCAGTTTCCTGAGAATTTTCTTCCATCTAAAATAATGGAGCAGCAGTGAAGATTCAGGAAGCCTGAGATGTCCCTTCCTCACCTCCTCACATGTACCCCCCAGCAGAGCCATGACCTCCCTGGACTCCAAGAGGCCTTTGGAAGGTGGGTTTCAAGGTGAGGATACACTTCTAGGATGTAACCAACAGCTTAAGCAGGGGCCCAGTGGGCAGTCTTCAGTGACAACCAGAGAGTAAAGTTATCATGGGCTTCATCAAGAGCCTGTCCAGGTTTCAGTAGGGTGGAGACAAAGCTGGGCCGTAGCATCCTTGTCATAAAGTAAAGCTCCATTCCTGGGAGCAAGGGCAGACTGTTGGTGAGTGCCAAGATGTGTCAGGCAGGAGACCTTCCAAAATAGAAGAAATTCTCCAACCCAGTTGCCATCCACAGAGGGCTTAAAGTGCCAACTGAGGTAGGGCTGGGTCCTGGGTGCTCTCTACTGGCAAGGAACTGCAGAGGCCCTGGTCTCAGTCATTCCCAGGTCCTGGCTTGTCACAAGGGGTGTAAGGCTGAGGCTGTCTTCTCCCAAAGCTGCCCCAGGGAACCCTTCCCCCCCCAGCATGGGCAGCCAAGGGCAGTGTGGGGCCTCCGGCTTCTCCCTTGGGGCTAGAGTGGGTGCCTGCCCCAGCCCAGCTCAGCGGCAGCTTGGATCCACTGCCTGTTGCCTCTGGGTAGCCTGTCTCCTTAGTGACTAATGGTTTGAGCACCAGTTGGACTCTGCCCTGGCCTAGTCCTATCCTTCACCAGCCCCCACTGGTTCTGCATTCAAGCCTTCTGACTATAGGAATTGTGGTCTGTGCTTTCCCAGGGGAGGGCCCTGTCCCACCCAGCACATTTGCTGGAGGTTGGGCTTGCAGGGTCCAGCCTGTAGCCAGCCACTGGGGACTGGGACAGGAAGAAAGGTCCTTATGTGAAACCCAGGCAGACCGGAAGGCAGTTGTTAGCTCTGGAGGTCGGGATGCGTCCAGCCAGGCAGGGGGAAGGGTAGGCAGACAGAGGCTGGGATTCTGGGAACACAGGCCAGAAGCTAACTTCATGGGAAAAGCCTCGGGTGGGCAGGAAGATTCCAGAGCATGTTGTGGTTGAAAAGACAGCGACAGACAGGAGCAGTTTGGAGCCAGGCAGGACTGGGGGATATAGCCCTATGTTCCGGGCTCTGTCGGCACCCTCCCCCTCCACATGGAGCCAGCTGGCAGCAAAGCTTAGGATACGAGGCAAGACCACAGAGCCTGGTGGTGGTTTGGAACTCTTTCTTCTCCTTAGTTAAAAGGGGGAAAGGAAATGGGTATAGGGTACCCCTGGGCTCTGGGGGAGGCATGCAGACAACCCCAGCAGGCAGGCGCTGGGGGATAGGTGGGAAGAGTCCTGGAGTTTCCCACAATTCTTTTCTCTGCAGGGAACAGCAAGGCTGGCTGCTGAGGTGAGGGGAGGGGTGGGCCCTGGGGAGAGGGGTGGCGGGCAAGGGTATGGGGGGGCTCACTCTAACATGCAAAGTCTAGCTTCCCCATAAACTAGATTGTTTCTTGAAGAGTGACATACGTATAAATACACAGACACAGATACACGCACACATGCGGAGAAGGCTTTGCATTCCCAAGGGTGGGGATCTAGGCCTGCTGGCCCCAGAGCTCCAAGGCAGGAGCCAGCCAAGTCTCCGCAGCCCCCTGGGGTGCGGTGAGTCCTCTGGGGAAGTTGCTTGGTCTCTGAAGTTCTGTCCACCAGCACCCAGACAACTCTGAACCAAATCCATGCAAGTTGGGTGCCGCGTGCCTGCGCTTCTGTGTGTGCACCGACAGCCTATGTGCTGGCACGGGGGTCCTGGCTCTCCCCTCCAGGGTTCCAGGGAATGGGGTGCAGACAGAGGAGGGTGAAGGGGGCCCGTGGAGATGTCCTCTCCCCCACCCCACGGGGTCCTGGCCTCCGGGAGGGGGGAGGGGCCTCCCTTATCTCTCGGCCTCCATGGTAGGGTGGGCCCTTGGTTCTGAGGCAGCCTGTTGGGGGGCCAGGGGTGGCCAGTCTGACGCCGGGGAAGGGGGTGCCGGAGTCCACAGGGGTGGCTGCTGCAGCTGGTGGTGCTGTGGCCCCCCAGGAGGTGAGGCCACCGTCGGCCAACTGGGTGCTGCAAAGCTGCTGGTGGCGGCGTGGGGGAAGTGTGGTGGGGGCGACGTGGCCGTTGCGGCCATCGGGCTGCCACTGCCACCACTGTGGAAGCTCTCGGAGGCCTTGAGACGAGAGAACATGGTGAGGGCATCAGGGAAGTTAGGGGGCGTGGCAGGGGTGTTGGCAGGAGTGCACATCTGTGGAGGGGAGAGCAGAGGGGGTAAGGTAAGCACCCTTTCTGGGAGGACCCCAGCCTCCCACCGGCTCCTAGTTGGGGAAACTGCCCAGCCTCTGTTGGAAGCTTTCGTGCCCCTCCCTTGGGTGCACCCAGCCCCTCCCACAGTCTACCAGCCAGGGGCTCCTTGAGGAAAGGTGGAGGCTGAGAAGGGCTGATGGCTCCAAGGAGGTACCATCCCAGCAGCCCCTCCATGGCCGAGAGCCACCACAGCTTGAACGGGAGACCCCTGCACAGCTGCCCGAGGCTGAAGAGGACACTTACCATCTGGTGGTGGTGGTGGCTGTAGGGAATGTTAGTCTCCTGGAAAAAGGCGCTGAGGGCCGTCTGCAGGAAGAAAAGCCCAAGCTTACTCTCAGCACCCTGTCTGACCCTGCCAGGCGCCCCCTTCCCAGGCTCTCTGAGACTTGGTACAGCCTGGGCCTGGCTATCGAGTGGGAGAGGTGAGATGAGGCAGCATGCCTGTCACCACTCAACCCTCACCATTGCCCCAGGAGGCACCCTGGACCCCCAGGCAGGTCTGGTGGGTGATGAAGACCACTACGGCACTGCCTGCCACCTAGACACCAGGTGCCTCCAGTTCGCACATATCTGATGTCATCACTGAGACCTGGGGGACAGGTAAGCACCCTAGCCAGTCTCACAGGGAAAGGCCTCCAGCAGACCTTAGCCCATCACCAACGCCATAGGTGCTAAGTCCCTACTCTTCTCTGAGCCTCAGTTTCGCCATCTTGGAGCCAGGGGATGGTAAAGGCTCCCACATGTCAAGTCTGTGACTCACCTGCCCCTCTTCTTGGCTAACCAAGGGACTCTGCCCTGGTCTGGGCCTCAGTTTCTCTATCTACACCATAAAGGAACTGAACTAGGTGGCTTCTAGGTCGCCCCCATTCGCAGTAGTGACCTCCTAAAAGCCATGTTCCAGCTGAGAGAACGGAAATGAAGTAGGATGGTCTGGGTCTTGCACTCACTGCCCCGCTCACCTGAGCCTCCTGCGGAATGTTCTCAAGGTGGAGGAGCAGGAGAATGGTAGAGGTGAGTTCTGCACCCAGAACTATGAGGAACTGGGACGAGAGCTGGCCTGGGTCAGACCAGCTCATCTGGAGGCCTTGGGGGACTGGGGCAAGGGAATAGGTGGGGGGTAGGGGGCGCTCCAGGACAGCCTCTGGGAGCCCCCAGGGATGCACTGGCACTTGGTGTGTCCTGGCTCAGGCCCTGTAGGAGGGCGTCAATGAAAATAAGGGAACTGGCTGCTCTTGCGCAAGTGCTGGGTGAGGGAACCCATGAAGTGTGTTAAGGGTCCGCCCGGCCCTGCCAAGTCCCAGGCCCAGCTCCAAGCAGCCCCTGCCACTCTGCCCACCATCACCAACCCCTCAGGCTGGCCCCCCACAGCCCTGCACTGCCTAATCCCCGCCCCAACATACTCAGAAAACCAGCCTAGCTTCCAGAGCTTCTCAGGGGTTTTATAATTTTCTTAAAGTAAAATCAAATGAATTATTCTGAGAATTTGCTGCTGAAGACACCCTAACCCGATGTCCCCAAACAGGGGTATGGGAGATGAGGGGCCGCTGGTCTTTAAGCACCTTGTGATCCCTTTACCCCCGGAGGCCCAGGGATACACCCAAACCATTCCTGTACCAAGAGCAGCTCCAAACGCCACTGACTGTGAGGACTCCAGGGAGAACCATCTGCCCCACCCATTAAAGCAGACAGCGGTCCCCCTCCCCCTTCAGCCTCTGTCCCCATTAACACCTGAATCAGAGAATATGACCCAAAAAGAGGCCTTCAGCTGGGTAGGTCAGCCCTCAGCCAGTGTGCTGCTAGGTGGGGGTAGGAGAGTGGAGGGCAGAGAAAGGTTAGCCATAAGAAACCCCTTATTTACTCCCACACAGAGATCTAAGTTTTGGGGGTTCATGACCCATTTTCACCTTAAGTGAACCTCTCTAGTATCCATATCCCCATTTTACAGATGAGGAGACTGAGACTCAGCAAGCCTGGGGCACAGGGCTCTTACCCCTGGGGGCCATCAGTCGCCCCAGTCTGCAAGTTGCTCCTGTCCCTGCTGGGATCAGTCTTTCCCCAGGTATTTCAATCCTCAAAGCTACATTTTCAATTCCTGTCATCTAGAGACACCAACCCACACTGCCTGAGTGACCGCCCAGCTGGTGCCAGTCTCTGTGGGCTGGGCTGAGAGTGCCTGCCCACCAGACACCTGCCTGCCCAGCCTCAGGCAGGGAGGGAGCCTTGTACGCAGATGTGGGACTCAAGCAAACTGCCATGAATGTGGTTTTGCAAGTTTAGCCACATCTAGCCCCAGAGACAAATGGGCTGATTAGGGAGCTTCCTGAAGGGTGGGGCTGCCAGCCCTGGGGGTAGGAGGGGCATTCACTCCTTAGAGATCCACTCACACCCCCAAGGTAAAGAGGAAACTGAGGCCAGGGAAGGAAAGGGACCTGACCTGCCCAGAGAGCACCCTCCCATCTCCACACAGTATCACCAGATCTCTGGTAAGAAGTAAGTGGGCAAAGATCCTTTGGGTGAATAGACCACTGCCTCCCCACACTGTCCTAGGCTTTAGGTGGGAATTCTGATCCCTTCCAACCCGCAGAAAGCTCCCTTGGCTCTTGGTCCCTCTTGCAAGCCCAAACACTTTCCCTGGCCTGACTCCCCATCTGGAAACCAGGCTCTCGGGTCCCCGATGGGCACTACAACCAGCTGGGTCTGTGACCTAACACTTGTGAGGAATGGAGCTCAAGGGCCTCTGGCCTTATCCCTAGATAACACCCTGGGGCGGCTGAGTTAGGGAAGGCTAGGTGACTTCTTGGCAGCACATGCAGTGGGGACCGGTGCTCTATGGGTCAGGGAGGCCTGGGGGATGGGGGCCAGACTGAGGCAACTCTACCTCCTGCCCAGCTGATTGAAAGCTCCTGAACTGTACACCAGGTCTGCAACTTGCAGGTAGATTCCCCTGCCAGAACAGAGGCGGGCCCCAACACATCACAGTACACTCGGGTGTACACGCGTGGGTACCATTAGCCAAACAGCGACATGTATGTACACGAAGCACACACCCGGCACCCAAACCCCAGGTGGACTGCGTGTTTACACACGCCAACATGCCCACATGCTGCTTGGCACGTGCGTAAATACAAACGCACATGTACGTGGACACGCGCGCCGCGGGACTGCCCGGCACACCTGCAGATCCACACATGCGGGGCGGCTCTGTCCCTGGACCCCAAGGCTCTCCTGCCCCTACTCCGCCGCTCCGGTGGATGGGGGGGGGGGCGGGGGCAGGGCTTATCCAGCTATGCCCAGGCCCGGGTGTCCTCTTTCCGGCCCGCCGCCTGACCGTCCGGGCCGCGAAGCTGCCCCGCCCTGGCCGCTGCCCAAACAGAAGTGTGAGCCCCGACATCCCCACCGCCCAGGGACTTCGGGCGGGGATTCGGGTCCCCAGTGGGGGCAGACCACCCCTCCCGCTCACCCCGCGCGGGAGGTGTTTCCGGGGGCCGCGTAGACGCGGTCGCGCCGCTGGGCCCGACCCGCACGCCGCGTGTACGCGCTGGAACCCGGCCCCGGGCGCGCGACCGCTGGACACCCAGTCCAGTGCGCGGGCCCGGCCCCGGCCCAGCCAAGACGGAGCGCGCACCCGCACGTGTCCACACCGCACACGCTCCGTGGCACGCGCAGCCACGCGGGAGCGGCCCCCACCCCCGCTTCCCCGGTGGCCGCACACCTCGAACTGCCAGTGGGCCGCCTGCAGCAGCTGCTTCGCCTGGTCGGCCGCGCAGCCCGCCGTCAGCACGAACTGGTTGATCATGACCTGGTGCTTAAGCTCGTCCATGTTCACGGACATGGCGCCGCCACCGCCGCCGCCGCCGCCGCGCTGCCCGCTCCGTCCTCCCGCCGCCACGCGCTCCTCCGCTTCACGCGTCCACCATTAGCGAGCCGGCTCCGACTAATACAAATATTTACTGTGCGGCTCTGACTCACCGAGCCTCGCCTCGCTCCGGGGCCGCGGGGGGCATGCTGGGAGATGTAGTCCGCGCCGCTCCCGCCCGCGCTCCAGAGGGGGCTGCGGGCCGCGCTGTCGCGGGCCGGGCACCTACTCTGTGCAGAGGCGGACCGTGATGACAGCTGGGCATCCACGCCCCTGCCCTGGCACTAATGGGGGTCAGCAGGCGTAGGCCACAGGGATCTTTGTCAAGACCCCGGACCCCGATATGGTTGGCATTCCTCTGTGTTGAGACTCACGGGTGAGGGGGCTAGCAATTTTGGCACAAATCGGCAGTACTAGGCCTCAAGTCCCCAAACGTCCTGCACAATGTAGGCACCTATATATAGTCAGTGAATGAATGAATCTGTCTTTTAGGGCTCTGCTTCAAGTCACCGCCTCCAGGAAGCCTTCCGAGTCTCCTCAATGTTCCCAAGGGACACTTGGGAAACAGGTCCCTTCCCAGCCTAGGTCCAAGGATTAGGGTCGGCGCTGATACAGGTAGGCAAGGCCACCAGCTTCTAGTGCTTCGGGGTTCCCACCCCGCTGTGCTCCCACTTTCCCACGCAAAATCTCGTGCGCTTTGACGGAAATCTCGGCCTTAAGCCTGCTGGCGCCAGGACCGCGAAGAGCCAATTTCGGGAAGGTCCCGAACTCCTATTCCCAGAATGCCCCAGTTTATTTGCACCGTACCGTCCTGGGTGACGTCAAGTGAGTGAGGCCGCGCCTTGGCCAATGGGAGGCCGCGGGGTGTTAGGACCTGGCCATATAAGGTAAACAAAGCTGCGCCCAATGA